GTCAGATTTCCTGACCTTAACCCTGTAAACTCCCTCAGTTTACCAGCAGCTGTCGATCCACTCATTTCTTACCGAACTCTTTAAACTTTCTGACTCGGACACTCGGAGGTTCTAACATGTCGCAGCTCTGCAGGACGGACGTTCTCACCTTGGATGGTTCTCTTGAAGAAGGCCTTGCAGGCCTCGCAGGACGCCACCCCGTAGTGGTACCCCGACGCAAAGTCTCCACAGACCAGACACAACCTCTTGGGTCCGACGGCGGCCATCGGAGTCAGATAGTCGCCTCTCAGGATGGAGTCCACCTGCAGAGAGAACAGCTTCTGGTCAGGAGGCTTGTCTTCTGTCTGTCTGGCCTCATTTAGAGGCTGTTTTCTGTCTATTCGGGGTCATTTTGAGTCTTTTTGTGGTTGACTTGTGTGTCTGTGGTCGTTTTGAGGCTTTTAACTCTTGTTTTGTGTCTATTGTTGTGTCTCTTTGGGCCCTTTGTGACATTTTGAGTGTCTTTACACTTGTTTTGAGTCTCTGTGTGGTGGTTTTGATCATCATTTTTGGTCTTTTTTTTGTTGTTGTGATCATTTCGAGGGTCTTTGCTGTTGCTTTGTCTCTTCGTAGTTGTTTTGAGTAACTCTTTACTGTCATTGTGCATCTCTTTGTGGATGTTTTGAGTCTTTAAACTGTTGTTTTGTGTGTCTTTACTGTTATTTTGCCTCTTTTTTGTTCTTCTGAGTCTCTGTGGTGTCATTTTCACTGTCGTTTAATGTCTCTTTGGTGGATTTTCTTGTGGTCATTTTGTCTTTGTTGTCGTTTTGATTCACTTTGTGGATGTTTGAGTCCCTTTTGTGTGTCTTTACTCTCGTTTTGAGTTTCTTTTTGGTTGCTTTGTGTGTCTTTATCGTCATTTTGCATCTCTTTGTGATCTTTGTGAATTAATTTCACGGCTTCTCAACTAAATTCAGACTGTTTCATGACTTCAGGACCTGCAGACAGTTGACCTGCTGTGAACATGAGACTCAGGATGACCCAAAGAGACCTCAAACAGCACCAAGTCCACTCAGGATGTGAACACGTAGAAACATCAGCGCCTCACCTGGACTGAAAACGAGTCCGTCATGGAGAAGCGGGCCGACGTCTCCGATGCCGAGGCGCCGGCGCTGCTGCTGCTGGACCCGGTCGGAGAGTCGGGTTCTGGAGCTCCACAGACGAGGCTGTAGGAGGACGAGGAGGACGAGGAGGCCGGGCTGGGCAGGAGGAAGGATGCCGAGGAGTCCAGCGGGAAGCAGGGGCTGAGGGGGAAGGAGGCCGGAGACCGAGCCTCATCGGTGGGCGAGGAAGAGGAGGAGGAGGAGGAAGAGTCCAGGAGGCTGAGGAGGAGGAACAGAGTAACTAAGTACATCTACTCGAGTACAGTTTAATCACATTTTAAACCTGTAATTATTGAATATAAAACACAGAGGAGACTAAATTCTATTCTTTAAAGTTTGAATTTTACTAAATATTTGTGGACTTTCATCATAATTTAACCCTAAAACAACCCAATAATAATGTTTTTATATTTATATAAAATATAAAAACATAAAATATGTTGATAACAAATAATACATTTAAATATATTTATTAAAGTTTGAATTTAATTAAATATTTGAGCACTTTTGTCACATTTTAACTGTAATAATAAAACACATCATTTAAAATAAGCCTAAAACAACTATTTCATCCTGTTCATTGTCGGGTTATTATCCAATAAATTATTAATCTAAAGCACTTTGACTTTGTTTTTGAAAAGCTGCTATAAAAATACAGTTAGAATTATAGACCAGCATGTTTTTATTATTATGTTGATGTTATAACAAATAAAAAGTTAATAAAAGTAAAATTTTTACATTTTCTTCCTTAAAATTTTAATTAACAAAATATTTATGAAATTAAATTAAATAAAAAACAAAAAGACATAAAACATGTTTTCATAACAGACTTTATAACACCTGTACGTTAATAAACCAAATTTAAAAATTAAAATATGAATTTATCTAAACATTTGTGGCCTTTAATCTCATATTTATTCAGTCTATTATATTTATATAAAATATAAAAACATGAAATATGTTAACAACAAATAACAAACACTTCAAATGTCTTTAAAATTCAAATTTTGTTTAAAATGTGAATATTTGTGGATTTTATTCACAATTTAATCCTCGAATGCACAAAATAATCACATTTTTATATTTATATAAACTATAAAAACATTAAATATGTTAATAAGAGTCAGTATGAGCAATAATAAACACTTAAAATTTAAAATATATTCATTAAAGAGTGAATTTCACTTAATATTTGTGGATTTTAATCACATTTCAGCTGAATATTGTGTTTTTTCTGTCAGTAAAACCACTAATAAACTCATTTATTCCATTTATTTACATGATTATTTATTATTATTATTATTATTATTATTATTATTACACATTATTTATTAAACGACTGACTTTCAGCAGATCGTCACTGATCATCCGTTTAATCAGAACCTGGGTCCAGTAATAATAATAAAAACCGTTTTGGACACTTTCACAGCTTCTAAAACATTTTCTAAACATTTACGAGCTGCTCATTCGTGTTTCCTTTAAAAGTTTGTTGTTTTTTCTCTTTTAAACTTCAACGTTTTGCTGCTTTAAGTTGTTTTCTCTCTTCAGACTCTAAACCAGACGTTAAACTTCATCAGAACCGAGCTGGACTCACCGCTGTGGACTGAGGAAGTGATAGTCGCCCGTCAGACAGAAATCCTTCAGCTCCATCATCGTCAACAACAACAACAACAAAACAAACAAACAAACAAACAGCTGCTTCGGCGGTGCGTTCACAGACTCCAGGAAAAAACAGAGAGAGAAGCTTCCTGTTGGCTGCAGACGAACATCTGAGTCTCTGATGAGGATCTGGTCTTATTTATCATCAGAGGGGGGCGGAGCCTGCAGGATCAGCCAATCGGCACGCAGCATCCCGGGATGAGGGGCAGGAGGAGGGGGGCTCTGATCATCTCTATTGATTGGGACAGTGACAGATGTAGGCCACGGCCGACCTGCAGACTCAAAGCCACTCCACTGATCAATAAGTAGGAAAAACAGTCATCATAACCGTATTTATGGAGCATTTTAAAAACATTAAAGCAGAAGGGCCGAAACATTCTGATTAAATACAACAAGAAGGAGGAAAACTAATGATAAAATCAATCAAAATGAACCTTAAACTGTGTGTTTAAAGGATTTTGTCCTCACAGGTTGAACTGCAGCCTTAAAACTAATAAATAAAATGTTTAAAATTAGTTTAAAACGAGGTGAACATTCAAATAATAAAAGGAAAAATAAACGTCAGCTGTTAAATGTGAATTACTGCCTCATAAAAACAAGTTAAAGTTTAACTGCAGCCGAACAAAAGAAAAACAGCTTTTAATTGTGATTTACTGTCATTTTACAGCAAAATTATACAAATTAAGTCTAAATTTAAACGTTAGCGTCGCTGAAAATAACGTCCACGTCAATAAATCTGTATTTTTGAAAATGTTTGACCATAAATAAAAAAAAAATAATTATTATTTTACATATTTGCTGTTATTACAAAGAAAAGAAAAGAAAAGATTTTAAAAACTGTAAATAATTTTTAAATGAATTAGTTAAATTAAAGATAATAACTAGTTGAAGAAATAAATTAAAAGTAATTAATCTACACGTTGAATATCAATAAAACCAAAATCTGTGTTTTACAAACAGGCTGTAATAAAATCAGCTGAAACTTTATTTTACTGATATTTTCATGGTTTTTGAACGTTAGTGTTTCTCCGCTTTTTAAAATTATAATATAACATAATATTGTTTTTTCTGTGATTTTTAAAAATATTTTCTATAATTTACCAAAACAGAGAAACTCTATAAAATACCTGTAAAGCTAAAAACAGTCATTTTACTTGTTTTTATGAGGCAATAATTCCAAATTAACAGGTGACGTTTCTATTTTCTTCTATTATATAAATTCTCACTTCGTTTTAAACTAACGTTAACATTTTATTTATTAGTTTTAAGGACGAAATCCTTTAAAAACACACAATTTAAGACTCATTATCATTGATTTTATTATTAGTTTTCCTCTTTCTGGTGCTTTTCTAACTTCATCTTATATTTTAAATGAGTTTAAATCTCACTTTAAGCTCATAAACTCGTAGATAAATGAGTTTAGTTGAACTTTTTCTAACGCAAGTCTTCAAAATGCATCAATTAAAAACTGCATTTAATGTAAAAATACACAAAGACAAATATTCTAAAGCATAAATAAACAATATGAAGTCTAATAAACGATCTTATCTGCAGGTCTAACAAACTAACCGACTGTATTTATCCTTGGAATCGATGTCAAAGCCGTTCCAGTGATCTGTAATGTGACTTTGTGTTTCAGGCTGCTGAAGCTGCTGAAGCTGCACAAACACGTTGTTCTAATCTAACGCTCAGACGCTCAGAGCGTCCTCACCTACATCTGCTGTTTCATAAGAGCTGCATAACCGCCGCTGTCTGAGGGCGTCCAAGGAACACCGGCGGGTTCTGCAGCCGGCCGGTTCCGTTTAAAACTCACGGTCGGACCCAGAAACAGACGTCTTTATGATGCTCTGAATGCACCAAAACAAACTGAAGCAGAACGGTGGAGGTTTGATGGTTTTTGTGGACGTTCTGTCACCAAGAACCTCCTCCAGAGAACTTATTTCAGAGGACAGCCACTTGCTGATTGGTTAATTTAATCTTTCTGCAGGTTTCTTCTCTAAAATCCATCGTTAACGACATAAAAACCACCGAACAGAAGCCTGACAGCCTCGTTAGGGTTCATGCATCACATGTTCCTTCTTTTTTATGCAACATTTCAGGATTTTAATAATAATAATGGAGTTTGGTTTGTGTCTAAACTGACCCAAGATGCTAACATAAGCTTCAGAACTCAGCCGACCGGGTTCTGCACCCACAGAGCCTCCACAGTCACCTTTAGTCTGTTACACAACGCAGAGCTGGTCGCTTCGGCCGGCAGCAGTGGAGGCGGTGAGCTGCAGGGAGTTAGCGAGGATTCCCACAGTGATCCTCTGAGATGCTGTTCGCTCACTGACCCACTCACCTCCATCAGCCAGAACTGGGTCAGAGCCGCTCTGAGTCACCGTCACCTCACGCCACCTCAGCAGGGCGGCGCTGGGAACACAATGCATACAACACCGGGTGGCTGGTCTGGAGCTATGCTGAGGGTCATTGTCCATCTGAAGACCCATTAGTGTCCAAGCTGTAACTTCCTGCTGATGTCTGGAGATGTTGCTTCAGTATCTCCACATCATGTTCTTTCCTCATGATGCCATCTATTGTGTGAAGGTCACCAGTCCCTCCACAGCATGATGCTGCCACCCCCGTGCT